CCCTGCTCCTGGGCGCAGCGCGGCGGACTCGCCCATCCAGCCAAGGCAGCACCGTCTTTATTGCCTTTATTGGGTCCCGTGTCAGCCCCAGTCCCTCAGCAGCCGCGGACCTACGGGGCAGGTGAGTGCTGCGTGTACGCCTGGGCAGTCTCAAACCACGTCTTCTCCACAGCTTCCTGCCCCATCTCGAACATTGTCATTAAGTGTTTCCAGCCCGTTTTGGCCGTGATTGTGAGGTACTCCTTGTTCTCCGGGTACAGCAGAGCCGTGTGGGCGGCGATGACGAGGGACTGTGCAAACCTCCCGCTCACCAGGAGGAAGAGGGCACCTCTCTCCTCGGTGCTGAGTGGCACAACGCTCTCGAACCCTGCGAGAACGTGGCCCCCAACGCTCAGAGGGTCTGRGCTCTCAATCATCATGTACATGATGGCTATGGCCACCTCAAACACGTAATACCCATAACTCATGTCACTAAAGTCCAGGATGCCAGACACTCTGTACTGGGGATTCTCCAGGGAACCAGCACTGGAGTCCACGAGAATGTTGTGGTCATTAAGGTCTCCATGATTGATACCTAAACACAGAAGAAATATTAGTAACTCTTAAACAGATGAAACAGCTTCAGGAAGATGCACGTCAAACCAACACCCAACTACACAACCACACTGGTTCCCTGCAGCACCAACTGCTGCTTTTCACACTTTTGCACTGCTTCAATGGCCTCCCCTGCACTGCCAGATGACCCCAGCAATGGGTAAGAGAGAGCCTTGCAGATCTTGCTCCAGGCTGCTGTGACCTGTGATACACTACACGGTCTCCAAACACACAACAGCAGTTTTCCAGCTACAGAACATTCACATTATCATCAASATCAATGTGAGTTGATTTCCAAAGATATGATTAAGGACTTATTCAGGCCTTTATGAAAGATAGTACTGTACTCCATATACAGTAAGCTGATATAGCAGCATGAAAACCATAACTGGGAGCAAACTCATCAGAARGATAAAGAACTGACCCTGACTGGACAGAACATTCCTCCTGGCTTACTCTGTTCTGTGCACATTCAGCACAATATTTGTCCATGTCTAGGCTAGGGAAAAGAGATTTACTTCTTTTGCTGCTTTTTTTTYCCCTTCTTCACAGACCCAAACTCCTGTAAGAAATTTCTGTGTCTCAGGGCAACATAATTACAATGAGAATAAAATACTCACAGGCTCGGAAACTGCTTAGCTTGGGTATTACTTTGACTTTAAACTGCTCAATAACTTCTTCCACCACTGCACGGTATTTGTTCTGGCCCAAGGCATAAATGTACTGATCTAGAAGAGGGACRTTTGCCAGGTTCCAAATGAACTGACCTCGATGCAGACTTTTTACTGATGGATGAYGGAATTTCTTTGGAAAAAGCACACAATAAAATAGGCCATAAGTAAAAAATGCTGGGTTTGAGATTAAAGGGCTTGGTTTAAAACCCCTATTAATTTTAACAGGTTTCTAGTATGACTCACTGAAAAATACCATGACTTGGACTTTTGTTCTATATCAAGTAAAAAAATAACCTGAAGAATGATTAAGGCAAGCATCTTAATATCTACATACAGCCTGAATGGTTTATCCCCATGTTTTAGGTACAAAGATTACCTTKTCATTTGTCACTTCAATAATCTAAAACTGCTGCTGCCTGTCTATAGTGTGACATTACATAGTGACTTTGACTGCCAAGRCCAGAGTCCCACTCCAGCAGAGCTCAGCCTGCACAGCTGGTGCTGCAGAAAGCTGTGGGAGCACCAGKCACACAAAACCTGCCAGCATGCTTGGAACGGGCACACTCTGTGCTTCTAAGGGTGGGAGAACCTTGGGGGACAAGCCTTAGGAACAGCTGGTGTTTGAAAAATCTGGAGCACAGTAGTTTATGGAGACACTGACCATGGCTTTATTCTTATGAACATTTTCCTTTGTACATCCAGGCCTCACTAAGCAAACAAGATCCTTAACCTATCTCTCACTAACAAATGGAAGAGATGGTTTATAAAGTGACATTCAGAGAGGAAGAGCATCTTTCCCACTGCACACCCCATGCTTATCTTGGACTCTTCATATGCTTATTAAGTTGACCTCTGGGCCAGATTTGTCAGTGCATAGGGCAAATAAAAAAAAACCTTCCCACAAGAGTAGCTGGCTTCCTTTTAAGAAAAAAAAAACAACAAAAACTGTGCTTGTAATTAAGACTCTTAAGGATCACTAAATTATAGTCAAAAGTGGACAGTGTATGAGCAAGTAAAGAACAAGACTAAGCCTAAACCCATTTGGGGGATGATAATCCATATGTTAAGGGAATAAAGAGCCTTTTCCACCAGAATTGCTTCTCATTAACTACTTACTCCTCGACARGATCAGTCACAGGCATATTTTGAGACTATCTTATTTTAATCACATTATAAGAGTGTGACCAGTGTGTCAGAAGGCAACAGTAAGTTATCTTTCCCAACTAAAAAATGCTCTTGTAATTTAAGGATGGTTAGTAAAACCAGCAATTCACATTTCATAACTGTCTGAAGCTGGTAGCCAGAACATGAGAAGGAAAGGTTAATGAAAGGTTAATACATAATGTGGGTTCTTTCATGCAGCACACTTAGTTACTGGCTGATTGATCAGCTTTATTATCCTGCAGAACTACAGAGTAAAGACAGAACTTACTTTGCATTATGATTATTTGAGTGGAAGTGGTGCAAATGAGAAGTGTTACAGATCTCTGTTGGCACTGCTGGCATTGGAGGGAGGGAAGCAGCTGCTATCAATATGAAATGGTCACAGTGCTAATGACGAGGAGAAACACAACAAGTCAAAAGGAATTCAAAGTAATAGATCAGCCAGCTGTGCACTACACAAAAATCCTTTAAAAAAAACTTGGTATCCTAATTTGAGCACCCTAAGGTTCATTCTCCTTTACTTGCCAGGTTTGAAACACTAACAGGTGAGCTTTGCCTAAATAAAAGTAACCCATCTTCCTGCTCATGGTGAAGAAATGCATCACAGAAGGATCACCAGAACCATGGCGCTTGTCACGTCCTTGGGAAAAGCCTTTTGGCAGCAGCCACCTTGGAGGCTGGCACCTGTGAGTCCAACTGACAGCTGCAGTCACCAATCACATTGTGCAGTCAGAAAAGCAGGCACCAGTGCAAGTGGTGAGGAGACAGTAAGAGAGAAGGCTGAGGCTGAAGCATGAAAACTCACCTCTGAGAGCACTTTATCCACGCTGGCAGCGAGCCTCCCGATCTCATAYAGAATCTGAGCATTGGTAGCAATTTTTGCTACTGGTGTACCTGGCAGGTAAGTCAGCAGTCTSACCATGTACTTCTTGCTGCCAGGTCTATGATCTGACAAGGAGAGATGCAGTCAGTTGCTCTGATACGTGCTATTGAGTATTAGTTAATTTAAGAGGCAAAAAAGGTTTATACCGATGTAGAAGTTGTCAGATGTAGGTTATGAAACAGATTTCACGCCAAGATTTGATTTACCAGAATGTTGTGCAAACCTTAACACATTAAAAATTTTATGCTGGATTTTTAGTCCTCGTGCTTGGAACCAACTCAGAACGAAGCAGGATTTCTCCAATGCCTGCACACATCCATGTAAAGTTTTACAGCTGAACAGGTCTCAGRGATCCCAGGTGTTGTATAGAAGTTACAGTGACAGTAAAAGCTAAATGCCAACACAATTGGTCTTYCAAACACTGTTAAAGCAATTTGTTATGGCTTCAGAGATGGGCTAGAATTGTATTTTACATCACTCTGCAGGCAAATAATTTCAAACATCACTTAGTCAATGAGGCTTTTTTTAACCTTTCTTGTGCRTGGACACAAGATGTCAAATAAATGTTTTCTCCAATTCATTAAACTGAAGTGTTTTCCTAAGTGTTTTCCTAGTTAATTATTCATCTCTCTCAGCTGCTTTGCTTCTGGTATTTTAACTCTGGACTATTATGGCTGGCACACAGGTCACCTGMTGCATATCCCTATTTAAACACAAGCCTAGAGCATATACATGGTGTGCTATGCAGCAATCTCCTGCCGAGCTAAGGGTGAGAGTGGGCACTGAAGGTGCTGGCAGTGGCTCACCTCCTGACTCCAGAGACATTATGTTACCATCTTTTGTGCGATAAGGAGTAGCTGMAGGAAAGCCTTCAGCACTGAGAAACATCATGGCCTGGGTCTGTGCTTCAATGAGGTCAGGCTTCTGGCTGTCTTCTGAATTGGTGATTTTGAGGACATACTCAGCAGCACCTTCAGCTGAGACACGCACGTGGAAGTTCTGATCATCGTAGCTGGGCAGTGACCCGATCCAAGCCACCTTCAATCCAAACACCCTATCAACCAGTTCAGCTGCCTCTTTCTCACCAAGTGCTGGTTTGGTCAAGGTCTGCGGTTGACAGTCATTTCCAGAAGACATTATGTCTCTAGAAGAAAATGAAAAACTGGATGATCTGATCTCTATTCTGACATCAGAAGCAGTAATTACTGCAACAAAATATATTTAGCTGCTGGAGAAGCTTCCTACATTCATTAAACAAAGAAAACCACCCCACCTCCCATCAGCTCAGATTTCTCTACATCATGGCTTATCAACTTCTTAGGCTGCAGCCCCTCCAAAGAAAGACTGCAAGAGAGACGCAGTCAATCTGTTCAGAATAGCAGACATGAAAAGCTAATTAACCAATACAAAGCTTTCATTAGCTCATTTCTAGCAGCAGGCTAACCTGATATTGTTGATAGGAATAAGACTCCCTAAGGAGCAAAGTGGCTGAATCCCTGATCGGAAAGTTTTCAATTCATGTCTGCAAAAGGCAGGAAGTATTTTAGTTCATCATAACGTTAAAGCAGATTAAATCTTTCCGCTTGGTCACGGCCTTCCAAGTTGCTGTGCTAAGAAAGGCAGCACAAACCTGCAGCCGCTCTCTCGTCTCTCGCCCGCCCGGCTGCAGCAATCCCGAGCCTCCTCAGCGAGCAACCCTTGGACTGGGGGAGCCGCGCCAACCTTTGCCCAGCGCGGGGAGGCCGAGGAGCGGCAGGAGCGGCCGGGAGCCGCGGCCCCGCCGGCCCGGCCCCCGGCAGGAGCGGCCCCGCCAGCCCAGCCCCAGCCAGGCCGCCTCCCGGCCGAAGGAAGCTCCGTGCGCTCAGCGGATCGCGGCGAGGAGCGGCCCCGGGCCCTGCGCTGCAGCCCGGCCCGAGCGCACCGGGCCAGGAGCGGAGCGCTGCCCCAGCACGGGCTTTGTTCTGCCACAGCACAGAGGGAAGGAAAGCTGCCACTTCCTGTCACAAAGGCAAAGCACCTAAAAAACCCTGCGCTCACAGCAAGCATCCTTTTTATTCTTTTGTTTAAACCCTTCTATCAGCACACCGGATCAAAATCTCTGCCAAATGCTTAGATTGAASACCATAAATACAAATATTTATAACAAACCTGAGGCATTTTGCTCAGGATGTCCTTTAGACTGTCCTAGAGATCAGATTGGGTCCATGGGTTCCTATACAATTTCAGACTTAATGAAAATCATGACAAACCACAAGATTAATACAGAAATCTCTTAAGAAACTCCTAATGAAAAGGAAAAAATTATTCTGCCCATAGCTGGCGTCCTCCTATGACAGATYTAGGAACCTGAAGAAAAAMCGAATTTCGGAAAGACATGMTGAAAAACAAAACAAAACAAAACAAAYCCCAACAACACCTAAAGCATCTTGGTTTTAAGTAAATAATTTAAAAATCCTCTATCACCAAATTTCAGTATTGTTTGTAATATTAAGGACACAAAATTGAAAATGCTATTTTAATCAAGTCGGGAATTTAGAAAAGGGAAACCATTTTCTCAAGAAACAACTTTTTCCCCTCCAATTTCAGAACAGATGTTATTAAAAGTGATTGACCAAATAACAAAAATTAAGTGAGTTTTAAAAAGAAAACGTCTCTGTAAAATATTTAGGGTTCCCTGTCTTGATTTGAGGCCCACTGAAGCTTTATTTGATCAGAACAAAATGAATACAGTAAGAAAGCCTTCTTGCTGCGTTTTAACATAGCTGGTCACAGAAATGTACTCCTGCTCTCTGCAAACAAAATTACAACRCACTTTGCAGATCTGTACCTCATTATTCTTGCCTCAGCTGCCAGACTGGAGAGCCAAAACTGAAGACCTATAAACCTCTGTGCTTCTCCTGCCTGCCTGGTACTCTGGGGGAAGCCCACTGTGGTTGTGAGGCAAGGCAGAGGTTGAAGGTTGTACTTTGGCCTGTCTTATTATCTGTAGAAACATAAACTTGAATAATTCAGCATAAGCGTGTTAAATTCCAGTCTAACACCCCTGCTGAAAGTGAGGGTTGAAGTAGGTTAGTGTTGGACATCCCCAAATCACTTCTGAGGACTTTGTCATAGCTGTAACCTTGGCCAAGAGCTTGCTTTAATACAGGACTTCATCCAGATTTTAAATTAGACATTTTGCAGAAGGGGAAAAAAAAGTTATTCAAAAAGCATTTGCTGTAACATCCAGACAGGTCTYTGGAGTGCAGCTAACCCAGAGAACCTTCTACACCAGCTAAGCACACTTTGCAAGCTCACATCAGACAGGAAATGAAATATGCATAACTACATAACACTATCTCTTTTCTTTAATCACCCCACCCCTTCACACACTGTACCCTTTTAAGTGTATTCYTTACTATCTATTCAAAATAGACAGTAACATACAAGAACTGTGGTACAATTTTATTTATTAAAAATAATTTACAGCATTGGTAACATTTTATGCACAATTTTMATCAATGGAACTTAAGATATATCTATACAATACTTACTGAACTTMAAACTTACACTGTTCTGTTGGCTTTAAACAGCAGACATTGATTTGCAGTTGCTTAAATATGATTAATATACATAGCTTCTTGTTCTTATACTTAGGTGTAAAATGTATAAACATCAACGCTATCCCAAAGCTTTATAGTTTGGGATGGGGAGGAAGAGGGAAGCAAGAAGAGAAAACATTTATAAAAATTTCAACAAGATTCTCCCCCAAAATTCAAATGGAGAGAGGTCTAGGTTAAATACATCTAACACACTGAGTCACTTCTCAAACAGGTACACGTCCTCCTAGGCTTTAGGATACTAAAGGGAGGTCTAATTGAACGGCGTTGGGTGTGTGAGCACAGCAATCCTGACTSTCCTGTGCCCTGCCACTGCCTGAGAGCTTCTGCCATTCCTGCCCACCTAAGGCTCTGGGGTCCCAGGTGTGTCCAAAGTTAAATGTCGTCCCTTTGCTGCTGGGCTCTTGCTGTGGGCTTTGTACAGGGCAGAGGGAGCACGGCTGTTCCCATGGATCTCGAGCCAGGTGTTCCCTGCACGGGCAGTTCCCCACCCCTGAGCAGATGGGACAGGGGCAGTGCCATCCCACACAGCACCCCCACAGCTCAGGGTGTGTKCAAAGGGCTGTTCAGGAGTCAGCCTGTCCTGGCTTGGGCTTGTTTAGAGCTGGAGCTGCTGCACCAACAGGAGCCTCCAGCTGAGCAGCCCCTGTGCCCAAGCACAGTTGGACCCTCTCCCATGGACTGGAAGGTACAGCAGTGCAGCAGAACTAAAGCAGCTGCTATGACAATGAAGCCCCGTTTGTCTCTAACAAGAGCTGACTCGCATTACTGGGGACAACTTACAGGTAAGTCACAGTCCTTGAAATCACACTTCTCATCAGTCTGCCTTGACATGGCTTGGATCCCTGTCTCCTGAAGCATGGAGACAAGGCAGGGGGGGCTGTGTTCCCGTTAAGCATTAGTTACACAAGTTGTAAATAGGGCATGGAGTTGCAGTTTTATTATCGGCACGAGGCATCATTATGTACCAGCATTAAATTCCCATTTTCTCCCCACTAACATACATTTTCTTGAACGAAATCAAGAATATACCTTTGAACTGGCATAAAATAGAATTAGACACTGTTGTACAAGAAGTAAGATCTGCTYAGTCACTCTGGATAGAATGAATGGAACAGGAACTCATTCAGCATTCAGTTGAATATAATAYTCAAAACTGCATTGCTTTATCCCCCTTAGCAGTGTAGGAGTCACTGGAATGGTTTTCAGCTCACCTAAAAGAAAACTACATCAAACTAGTGAAATATAAAACCAGATTATAACAGAACTTCAAACTTTAGTGAAACAAAACAGAAAAATATCAAACTTATGTCAGTCAAATTAGTTTGGCCTTTGAACTGTCAAAAAAGACATTGTATTGATGTAATTTTGCAAGAGGTCTTGGGTATTTTGGGTTTGGGGTTTTTTTTAAGGAATGTCAAGCGTACTATTTAAAGATTTGAACAGTGCATCTGTTAGTTCACAACTCATGTATCTTAGTGTCTGGTTATAAATTAAAAGCACATGTAAATAAAGCTAATACAGTCCTCTTGAATGTTTTAATATTTAAGACAAAGTTTATCAAGAACAAAAAAGATCTTAAAGCAAAATCTTGACAATTTATAGGCAAGTACTGCAGTTTTGTTCTCCAGCAGAAATTAACCACTACACGAACTGTAAGTGGACTTAGGAAGCTTTTGAAGACACAGGAGCACAGGAAGAGCCTGCTGGAGCTGCAGTGACTCGCACAGCTCAGACACCACCAAAGCTCTGTGAAAGGGGAGCACGAGCCATTCTGCAGGAACTCTGCATCTCCTGCTACTGTGTACTACAGAACAGGGGTTTCACCCTCACTGTGCTGACAATTACAGCTACTGCACTGCCATGACAGACAGCTCTGTKCAGCATTCCAGGCTCTTCCTCAGAAAGGACCACTTTGTAAGAGCTGGGAGCTGCCAGCACATGAGAAAGCACTAAAGGCAGCATGGCCACCGGGCTCAAACGCCTGACAAGTGTAACTCATTACAGATTGTATTTCAAGCAGAGTATTTCAAACAGCCCTATAAAACATTTTTAAAGGTTTTTAAAGGTTAAAACACTGGGGGAGGTACTTTGTCGGATGATATTGCAGAGCACAATAAAAACATGTCACAAATGACAAAGTGCATCCCTTGAAACAGATGACAAACTTCAGTTGAAGGGCATAAAGAAACATGGCTTAACCTGCATGAATGAAACAACTGAGAGATTTGTTTTTAAATGCAGAAATGTTTCTTCCAAGTACACAGTATTTAATATATTTCATTGCTTGAGCAGTTTAAAACTGGATCCAGATGAAATATAATCCCGTAATAAAGGTAAGGAAGTCATTATCTGTGATACAGGATACCACAGGCTTCATGTGGACTGCTTTTGTTCAGCCCATAACCTAAAGAACAAGAAATTGAAAACTCAGTATCTCTTTCAGCTCTGGATGAAAAAAAAATCTGTTTGGCCCTTAAGATTCCATCTGCTACTCTTAAACCAACAAACAGCAGTACACAGATTTACAGGTGCAAAAACTGAGTGGAAACAACTGCAGAAAATCTTCTTACATAATAATCTTCAGAACAATCAGTTTCAATTTCGCATAGTTTATTTACAAAATGGTCTGATAAAACATCCCCTCCATACTTACAGCTCTCTGTCACAATACACATGTTGATTTTAGCAATGTTTAATAGCACCATTAGAATATTATTTAAAATCAGAAAGGATCTCGTTGCAGTTACAATGATTCACAATCTTTTACATCCATGGACGAAGTAACTTTGAGCACACTAGGACTGTTTGCAGTTCCACAGTACAGATTCCTGGGTTCACACAAGGCATTTTCTGAGTTACCAGTTATGCAGGGTACCCAGAGAGTCAGTAGCTACTATAAGAATCTTCGAGCCACAAAGTTTAGACTTCCACCATTCTTGTATAAAGTTATTTCCATATTGTTTTCAAACAAGGCAATCACGCTGAATACTTTTCCAGTGCTTGTCTTCAAAAGAAAAACAAAAAAAAAAGAGAAACAAATTAAGCTTTGTTTTCACTTCCCCTTGCTTATTCTCGGTCAACGTCCTAACCCCAAGTTTTGTCGAACACAAGCAAATTTAACCCTCTGATGTGCCTCTGCAGCCCCAAGCCCACTGGGGACAGAAGGAAGGCTTGTTTGAGTGCACAGTTTAGATGCAGCTGTGAGCAGGCAACCATTGGCAACCCTGTCCCTAAGATGGCACCAGTTGTGATATGGGCTTGCTTACAGAGAATGGAGAACTGAAGCCTCTCTCAAATCATCACACCTATGAGAGACAAACTCAATTCTATCCTCATAGTGAGCCCATGAGGGGCAAACCACCAGCCAGGATAATCAAGAATATCAGGCTGCATACAAAGTTGTGTACAAAGATCACGGGTATACGTGATATACATGTGACATACACGGTATGTACTTTGGGAAACTCCAACAGCCATGACAAACTTCAGGCAGGACTATAAGCTTACCTCCCAAGAGAATTAAGTTCTGTTTTGTCCTGCTTGGCTTTCTGTTATCATCAGAATTAACTTTCTCTGCTTTCAATCATCAGTACATWCAACAGAGGAATTAAAAATATTGCAAAGATACCTTAACTTCCACAGTCATTCTGGGCGACAGCTCTGGAGGGAACAATATAGAAAATTGCTCTCTGCCAGTGAGTCCCAAAGTACTTGGATTTTCCCCAGGACGAAACTGAAGTGGAGCAATGCCAATTCCAATCAGCTGACTCCTATGAACCTTCTCATAGCTCTCAGCAAGGACAGCTTTAACACCCTGCAAATAMAAGTACAGCAGGCAGAGTGAAACACAGAGCCAACCTTCAAACACAGATTATGTCCAACACCTCGTAACTCAATTTCAAGAGTAAGGAGTGCTTTGCAAGTCCTTAAAGTTTAGCTTTCCAGCTAAATGGAAGCAAACAAGCCAGAGCAGGCCCATGTAGTGTGAAATGGAGTTTGTTACAGACAGTGGCCATGCTGGAGTTAACAGGACATGAGTCAATGGCTGACTTGAAATATATTCTCAATATTAGTGGAAATTAGTTCCCGACAGCGAGATACTGAACACYCCATGGAGACTAAACAGAGTTCAGCATAGACAGTCTCAAAGTCTGGCACCCCAAGTGGTAAATTACATAATGAGGAAATTCAGATTTATCCTGACTAGTGATTCTCTCACATGAAGATTCTAACAAAGAAATTATACAATGTGTTTTTAGATATTTCCAGAAAAAAACACCCCCAAACCCAAACAAAMAAACCCAAACAAATCAGCAGTACCAGTAAAAAAGGTCCTTTTGCAGCCCAGTCTCTTGAGCTACCCAGTCCATACTTCTTTCCTGCTAGAATAATTACAGGAATGCCTGCCTTCTGGTACAGCTCCGCTGCTTCAAACACATCTAGCTGTGGAATGACAAAGTGACACATTTTGAGTGAGTTCTAAAYCTCCACCTCCATGCCAGAGTAGCTGTGCAAACAAATATATTCCTACCGTTTGTCCAGATGGGAAGTAAATTGTTTTAGGAGCTGGTTTTCCTATGAACTTATTCAGAAGCTTGATATTTGCAAAGGTACCTCTTGTCATCACAGCATCATTACCTCTTCGAGCCCCATAAGAGTTGAATTCACGAGGTGTGAGTCTGGCACAAAAAGCAAATTGAAAGAAAGTAGTCACTTTAAATATTATCTGATTTAAAAGGAATGTTAATGTTTTTTTATGAACTATTACAGCATATCTAAGTTTTCAGTGAAAGATGTAAAGAACTAGAMCTCMARCAAATGTAATTMTTATAAATCATAAACAAYACATGTAAATTACTGCTGTGTTATTCATGAGGAAAGCTGCAATTTTAAACTCATTTTCTACAACTTCATTATGAAATGCTACAAGCAGTGTGGTACTTACAGAAGAATTATGGGGAGATTGTTCTAGGAAACAACACAGCTTACTAATCACCTTACCAGTACCAGCATATTTATTAGCATTTACTAATAATTTTGCTTTTCCGCACACAATCTCCCCTTTCAGCAGACAGGCATTTCTAGAGAAAGGCAACAGTGCTGATCAATTATTCAGCATGTGCAGCAGTCCATCCTGTGCCACCCCAAGGGCTCACCCTTTGCTGGTCAAGTACTTGGCAGCAGCACTGCTCCTTGCAATGCTCCCGGCGGGGGAAATGTGATCTGTGGTTACAGAGTCCCCCAGRTACAGCAACACATGGGCATTTTCAACTGGCTGTGGTGAAACTGGTTCTTTGGCCTGAAAGAGATGGGTGGGGGGGGAAGAGAACAGAAGGGAAAAAAAATAGAAACATTAAACATTTTCTTCCAGGAAAAAAGACATAAAACATATCTGCAATATATGAAGGCACCTTGATGTACAGGCTCCATTCATTCCAGAGACACAAACATTAATTTAAAAGACTGAGAAATATCAGTGATAATTAAATTTGTTACTTAAACTTTGAAGCTTTACTGGAATAGCTATTCCTTTATTTAAATGCAATCCATATAATCTGGTGGATAGATCCAATGTACTTACAAGTTTATCAAAAAAGGAAGGACATCTAATATAAGTAGATTTTATATCCCAGGGAAATAAAGTAGACTCTGGTGCTTCCAGTAAATTCCATCGTTTGTTTCCTTTCTACAAGAAAGAAAATTAATAAAAAAGAAGTTAGTTTATTGTATTTTCATATTCAGAAACTAAAGACTTACTGGGATTTTATTCATTACTATTCTTTAGTAAATAATTTTCTATTACATATTACAAGTTACTTCAGTGGGTATTATTCAGAAATCACTTTTTAATATAAGTATCCATCTCTGTTAAGCCCTCTGTTACCAACAGAAATAAATGACAAACCAATCGCATTCAACTGCAATATATTATAAAGCTACAGTGAAATGAAATGTAAGCCTTATATTATGTAGAACAGACCACTCTTACCTCCATCTTTTCTTTCAATTCCTTAAACATGGATGATATCACACACTCCTCTTCCACTGTGTGAAGCTCTTGTCGGGTGGGCCAAATATCTCGTAAGTAAATACTTTCGCCGTTAAATCCGGTGCCTGAGTAAGATTTCAAACACAACAGTACTTCTGAAGACTAAAACACTAGACTTGAGATTTGTATTAGAATAGAAATGTGTATATATTCAGGCTTGCAGAGATGCTACCAGATAGGCAGAGTGAATGCTTTGCTTCAGCCATGAGCAACACCAAATATGGCTGTGCTTTCTCTTCAAATCTATTGGCAGAAGCCTCTGCCCATGTGCAGCAGATCAGCAASAGAACTCACCCAGAGGCTCCGTGTCAAAGTCTATCCTGACGGTGCCCGCGATGGCGTAGGCCACCACCAGCGGAGGGGACGCCAGGTAGTTGGCACGGACACAGTCACACAGGCGGCCCTCGAAGTTCTTTGTTCCAGACAACACCCCACAGGCAATGATATCACCCTGAAAGGCAAACCCAGACATATTGTTCCAGCAGTATGGGGTACTTCAACAGCTTATACTATTTTTGTTGACTAAGTCAGATGTGCTCTTGGCATTTCACTTCAAATATCTACTCTAACACTACAACTGAAAGGTATTTTGCTCCCTCCCACTACCCTTCTCATTTWCCTTTTTGACCCTCTGATATATGCACTCCTGTCACTTCAGTCAACTCCTCCCTCTCCTGTCTTTTTTTTCTTTTTTCTTCTGCTTCAGAAGAGAAAAAAAGCTGTAGCTTTTTACACACTGCTGGTTAAAATGACTCAAGCCCACAGCTCTCCAAAACCCTCCACTTACGATTCAAAGTCTACACATTGCATCCTCTGCAAGATTCAATCATTTGTATTTATCTTGTAATTTATAACTATATTCTACAAATACTATATGTTACATTTATTTTACATATCAATGAATCAGCGTGGTCTCCCCCTCTGACATGCAAATAAACCAACAACACTGTGCAAATTCCAAATAAAAAATGAAGTGTATTTTGCATGGATTCCTGTATTTCTTGATTGCCTAACTGGGTGAGAAATACATTTCTGTGTTCAACAAGTCAGCCAGAGCTTTACCTGTTTTATTGCATTCCTGATGGCTTCTGGCAGAGGAGCTGTGTTCCCAACACAGGTGGAACACCCATAACCAACAACCTCAAACCTACATGGGAAAAACCGATCAAGTAATACATTACATGGCCACGAGCAATTTGTTAACAAAACTGCTTTTTCTTTTATTAACAATCCTCAAGAATTTCTTTGACAGTTAAGACTTTTTAGAAAATGAACAGCAGACACTACATGCCACTGATGCAAACCACAGCTGGGCACTGTTACAGAATAATGAACATAATCCAGCTGTTACTGCTACAGAGCAACCCAAAATGTACTAAGCAACCCTTTACAGCAACCATGATAAGGAAAGACTAATACAGACTGTCCTGACAAATTTGCAACCAGCTTCTTTTACACTTCTAAAATACATCATCAAGTGCATGCAGTCCTGTAAGTAACTTAAAACGAAGTCATTTGTGACTGAAAACACCAGAGCTMTGATGKGTTAGAGCTACACATTGTAAATTTKAAAGTGGAAATWCAATGAAGGAAAATAAKTCTAAGTCAGCAAGTAAGTAAAATGGCAATCTATATGCTGGGAATTAGCCAACCCCAAGTGAACAGCAATCCTATTTATCAACCTGTACAACGTCCCCTATGTACTATCTGCCTAAACCCCCAAAAGGAGCCAGGCCTTACCCAAGCTTGCTGAGGTATGGCAATACTCCACTGGAACTGAGGTAATGTGTAACCATGCCACTGCCTGGTGATAAACTTGTTCTGATGTAAGGCTTCACCGTTAGGCCAGCCTCAACAGCTTTTTTGGCCAGGAGTCCTACCAAACAAAAAGGAAAGAAAGGACATAGGATTGTGATTTGTATATCCCTTAAAAGGATATCTATATGCTTCTACCTTAGTTAAACCAAGCATAAAACCCTAGAGGATTAAACAATTTTCAGTTTATTAAATTATTAAAACAATTACTGGCCCAAATAAAGTTTCATAACTCCTAACACTACCATGCATGCATTTGTTCCCATTCCTGGTAGATGCCCATTTTACTTTGTCTAAGACAAATCTCTTTGCCATGTTTTAGCTAATAGCATCCATTCAGTGTCCAGAGACAGGACACACAGCCCTAAGGGGAAGCTCACCTTGGCCACAGAGGATCTTAAAAAGAGGAGAGCAAGGTCTGACAGATGAGATGCTCCAGCAAAGCCTTGTGAAGGTGTGGCAGATACCCCTGAAGCAGCGACACAACTGCTCAGCAATACAGAGTTTGTGTGCTGTCTGTGGCATCATCATCCAGGACAGGCTGGAAGCTAAAGCCCACCTCCTGCACCAGCTGTGTCACTGTGTGCATCCACTGAYAGGAGCCCTGAAACTGCTGACCTGCTGTCTAAATATTTTGTAATTACTGTCTTTAATACTGCTTTATGGGACAAACATGGAAAARCAACTTCACTCTAGAAGCTCCAGAACCTACAAGCTCAAGCTRTAAGTTTGCAGTTTCACACCTGTCGGTCAGGTCATTGCACAAAACCTACAAAAGTGAATGTGAGGGCTGTGCAAACTTGGAGCAGCATTAAGATCCTGAGTTGTTTGGTTCCAACATACCTGCAGCAAGCATGACAGATGGATTGCAATTGTTGGTACARCTGATGACCGCAGCAATGACAACGCAGCCATGGGACAGCTTGTATTCATTTCCTTCATACTGAACAGGCACAATGTCATTCTGCTTCTCAGCTGCAATCTGAAACCCTTTAACACCAGACTGGATGACAAAAATACACGTTAGCACTTGTTATAGTACAGAAAGGATGACATTAYAGCAACACCAAGTGGAGCCTGGTTTTGAAATAATACTCAGCTGTGCCACTAGGAACCCTYACAGAGATTTTAAAAGCAGCCCTCAGTGCATATCCCTCTGTCTGTACACTGGTCTCATCCTTCTTCCTCCACAACTGCTTTAACCTTGTGACAGCTGTGAACAAATGCCAGTCTATGTGTGGCTGTTCCACAATTCACTTCCTTCTATGCATCAAAGAACATCCCCTTGAGAACACGTGTCTAATTCTACACAATACTGGTTCCAGAATTAGAAGCYTGTCCAAGATTTTGATTGCAAGAGGGTGGTTAACTAAACCAGATAGRTCAGTTAGCATTTTACACCCTCACATAAGTGCTCTTCAGCCCTCAAACATCCTCCAGAGGTCCCTTTCAACCTCATCCTTTATCTTCCACCATCAGTTCCAACCTCCCTCCAGTCCAACTGAACCGCTCTATCACAGGCCTCATTATAAACTGTTTCTAATACTGCTGTCAGTCTTGAACTTAAATGATAAATGGAAATGAAATTCAAATGAAGGTACATTCCTGTACTGGCTGCACTCTTTAGATACCTATGGATATCCCTAACCAAAAATAGTACCTTCAGAGTAAAAACATTCACTCTGCGAAGGTTGTAAACAAAAATCATTTACAACATTAAGCTGTAAACAAAAATCATTTACTAATGAAAGAACTCAGAACACTCAGCTACAAATCTTGGCAGTCTTTCTGCATCTCCTTTAAGGTATGCTGAGTTTTCTTAGGGTAAATTCTGTTTTGAAAATTAAGTAACACACAACTGTTTAAAAAAAACCCAAAAATAGTGAAAACGTTTGCCAAGCTCACCCTATGCACTGCCTAAAGCTCTTTCTCCCTAGCAATCTTAACGGAGAAATTAAGGATTTTTGGAAGCTCATGTTCCTGCCAAACACACCTATGATTTACCCTTGGGATRCTTGTCAAGCAAGAACACAACACCCTGGACAAGCAGTTGTGYAGCAATAAGGGCTCAGCACGTATGGAAGGAACAGGTAACATAACATTTATTCATGTGAATAATAGGAAATAATTTTTGACGAGAGCATCAGCAATACAAACCTTTTCATTTAAGCAAGCTTGGAAGTCACTTTTCATGTTATTAACAGCCACTCTGTCTTGGGATCTCTTGGGGCCACTGACATATGGAATTATAGAACTTAGACTAACTTGCACTACCTAAAAAAACAAGAGACARAAAGTGCAGGCATTACTAACCCCAGCCCAGCAGTACATGGAATATAGTCCCGAGACACCCTGGAACTCCTGTTCCAAATTTGAATGTTCTCAGACATTTAGAATTCTGGAACTCCATTTTCAACACCACTCACTGTGATAGGCTATCTATCTTATTCCAAGCATTTTACYATTATCCCTAAGTTTTCTACCATTCACAATTCTTGAGATGACCGGAATTCAGTATYTGAATTAGCTGATAAAATGATACTACACTACTATATATTAGTTGATATAATGATATTACACTTCTCTTTTTTCCCCCACCCTCTCCATGTTTTACAAACAAACTCTGCTTCTTGAAACTATGAGTTAATAAACACAATTTTGCTGAAAGCAATAAAATTACAGTGGGAGACAAAACCGTGTAATTATCAGCAGTTATTGATGAGAATCAAACACAAACAACTACTTTCAGTCATACCTGGGAATACTCAGGTTCTCGGGAMGAACTCTCATCACTTCTAAATAACTTCACAGCTTTAAGATATGCTTCCATGACTTCAAGCTTGGCCTTATCAAAACCTTAGGAAGGTTATTTCAAACATGAGAAAAGCCACATTAAAGACATCAATAAAACAAATCACACAACTTTGAGAAATTCAGATTGTTTTAAGTGTAACATTGAAAGTACTTGTTTTTCAAGCACACCACTACCATATGCCAATTTCCAGGAGCTATGCAGGAATTTTGCACAAAATGAAACATTTATAAATTATTACATTTTTTCCTATATTAACTTATCTTATTTTCTTTCATCAAGGAACAAAATAAGGTATTCCAGCTCTAGCAGTGGTAATTCAAATTTACAGTTGTGTCCCTGAAGTTCATAAAGCTTTTCTCTGTTAGGATTTCCTTGTTTCATACAGACCCTGTGCTTAGCTGGCAATAGACAGTGCTACTGGCTTCTATTCCAAACCCATCCATTTGCTCTGCACTRATCAGACAAACATGTTTGCTCTTGAAAGCATTTAACTCTTATTTAAAAGTGACAGATTTCAGTCTCAGAAAGTCTCACTCATGAGTGAACTTTTTTTGGCATGTGTCACCCTGTGGTCTTCTGTTTGCAGTASCTTGATAAGGAATTGACATCCTCTTTGCTTAGTGAGATGCCAGAGAAATCAYGCACTTCAAAGGGAAATAAACCACTGGGAAAGATCAGATACGTTGTGATTTGTTCTGCAGTTTCTAGTAATCATTTTAAATATTGATTTAGTAGGGAATTTACAGGTGATTAAGGGATTCATTCCAAATCAAGAAGACTTGCATTCCATACATATTTCAAAATGTGAGAATTTCCTTAACACTTTTCTTTTATAGGCTTACAAATGCTCCCAAAACCCAGGACTCTGGATTTTGAAAAGTARTATCATGTTTGTAAATTAGGAAAAAATACATGTTAGACAAATGGACGAGACCGGACACAAACTTACACRCAAGTCTAATTGCACTTTAAATCCATATCAGAACTCTGCAGAAAAGCACCCTGCAAGAATTAAGGAATTTTAAGCAAAAACTCAATAGTTCTTCCACTGGGTTCTTCTGCAGAGCAAAAAACATATTGCCACAAATGAAAAATACAATTACAATAAATCATTCCTTTRATTAAATCTTTACCTGCATACTTTAAGTGCTTCAGTGTCACATTATCAACAGGGAAAAAACTCAGAATAGCACCATATTCAGGACACATGTTTGCTATTGTGGTTCGGTCTGCTACGGACAGTTGGGAAACACCACTCCCAAAAAACTCAACAAATTTTCCAGCGACATCAGCTTGTCGAAGATGCTGTTGGAAAGAACACACAATACTTGTTACATGAAGAGCTACAGTGCAAGCTGTGTTTGTCACAATTCACAKGCCATGAACATCTAAAACAAAATGTTGAAACCCTTATGGCTTATGCTTGCATAAAAAAGATTATTACATTATTATTATTATTTCTTTTTTGTTAAAGAGGATCTGTAAGTAAACCACTATAGAGGGGAAGGTAAAAAAAAAACCCACTACTTCAAAGAACTACCAAATAAAAATGGTTAGAGTCTTTGTACTTTTTTGCACTGCCATGATTAAAGGTATACTAAAAACTMCCTGCATTTAATTCATTTCTCAACCCACACTGGTAGTACTTGCAACAAACTCTGTTTTGTTTGAAAAAGCATTGAGCTCTTACCTTTGTAATGCTTAGGACAATATCTATGGATGTGGCAAAGGGGCTGACTGYGCCTGTCAGCTCACAGCCCACCACCTCAGGCAGAGTGAGAGTGACGGGCATTCCCAACATCACCGCTTCTGTCTCAATGCCCCCAACACCTGTAAGGACAGTGGGACATGGCTTTTCAGAACCTTAATTAACCTACACTCAATATGTTAAGCTCCTAAAACATAATAAAAGCCCTTCTATTAAGCCTAAAGACTCATGACAATAAACATATTGCTGCTTCTCTCTCACAAGTGAAGGGCACCACTCCATTCCCAACAAGGACACAGCAAGAAATGTAGAAGTTCTGTTAAATATTTGCACATCAAAAAGAAAATCAAGCAAGACTATGGCTCAAGTTAGACATCACAGTCAACCAGAAAATATTTTATATCCAAAACTAAATTTCTGAGAGAAAAAAAACCTTCATGCAAATTTTTTCTGTGCTAACAGCACTTATTTGAGCATCAGCTAGTTTTTGGCTGTTTTCTCTTTAAAGTACAAAYAGTGGTTTCTCAATGAAAGAAATGTTAGCCAAGATTACTTGTAGACAAAAACCATTCAGAAGTATAATTCAAGAGTCTATTACGCTTGAGATACAAACATACAGTGGGAAGAAATAYTTCCCAGTCAAGCTTTAGTTCCTTTCCAAGAGCAGTGAAGTTCTGTGAGCATACTTACCCCAGCCCAAGATACCCAAGCCATTTACCATGGTTGTGTGCGAGTCTGTGCCAACCACGCTATCGGGGTGCAGGAAATCTTTAACGTCAAAAACCACTCTGGACAAATATTCCAAGTTCACTTGGTGTGCCATTCCAGTCTCGGGTGGAATTATGGAAATATTCTCGAAAACTTTTGAACTCCACTGTAATTTTTCCAAAATGAGAATAAAAGAAGTGCATGTTTATAAAGGTATATTCAATTCTTAACGTAACTAAAAAGATAACACAAAGACTCAATAAAAGAGTCCTTGCTATTTACCGAGTGGTTTTTGGCCCTTTGTCAAAAAGAGGTATGTGATCTCCTTGGATACATTCTTCATCATCAACAAAAGCATTCATTCATTCATTCATTCATTCAGTTTCTCTGAAGGCTGAATCAATAATTCATGCCTAACTTTCAAACACAGGGCTGAAGAAATCTCTCACCTTTCAGTTCACCTGATTATAAGCCCAGCTATGGCTGGTGTTTAGACAACAGAACCTAAGCACTTGTATTTATAGCAGAATTTGTATTCATAGCATAACTGAGTTCAGGTTTGACTCTCCAGGGTGAGCTCACGTAGGAGGGGACATTTAACMGTGCTGACATGGAAACCTGTAACAAGATTCAGCCTGGCCAATTCCTTTCTAAATAATGTAAAAGGTAATTTGCAAGTTTCAGAAAGAAACCTCTAGCTTACATCCATGCAAATAGTTTTAGATCATTACAGTGAATTCCTAAACCATGTCAAATTAGTGGATGAGGATCAAGTAACAATGTTGCAGAGCCCTGTCCAGCAGCAGAGAAGCTGATGTTCACCACAGGATTTCTGCTTGACAGCAGCCACGTCTGAACACAGCAGCCATGTCTGAACACTGGTCTCCACCCAACATTTCCAACTTCAGGAACTTTTGTAACAGAGGTATGGATAAATGACCCTTTCAGACAGAAACTCATTGTGACCTAAAGCACTGAGCTCATGAAAGGTATTAAAATGACTAAAGCTTCATAAATCCCCACTGACAAGAACCAAATCAGAGTAATTTTTTTCAAGTTAGAATGTCAGTTTTCTGCTCTTGTATTAAATTCAGAACCTGACATTTCCAAATGATTACATTTAATTTATCATCTAAACCTGAATACTGGTAGACAAATGACTCTCAAAAAAGCCCAAACCACAAAGCCTGCAGCTAACACAGACATACCTTAAAAAATTGAAGTCTCTCTCTATTTCTGCCAAACTCCATCTCCTGATTTTTCAATACTGTCTCAGGCCTAGGAAGAAAACAAGTACYATCATAATTTATTTCAAATTACAGAAGAACAAGATGTAGTTTTAGTTGGTTTGATGAAACACTCATTTAAGCCTGCAGGACCCTTTGAAGTGATTTATTAGAACACAGATAATTGCCTCCCTGCAGCAATTTTTCTGTAAACAGTGAGAAATGGCTGATTTCCTATGTCTTGTGTCTGAGAACCTGTTTATTCTAGGTATGGTTTGCCTAAAGTGTGTGATCTCAAAAATACATTAAGAGATCTATTCCAAGCATGCACTACAATACACAGCAGCTTTTTTTATCCCCTATCAGCTGTCTTGCAGGCTGCACATCTCAAAACCCCATGCATTAAAGAACCAAGATGTTCACTAGTTCACACAAAATCACACTGCATGTTCAGAGGTAGCCCTTAGTAACTGAGTAGAACATTGGGCCAATTGTAAGTAAGGCCATTTCCCTTGAAGCCACAGGTTTTTCTTCACAAGTAGGAACTATCTTTTTTAGCATATGTTATTTACTGACACAGTGCTACCTGTTGTAACAGAGTAATCCAAAATTTAAGAGGAATAACCTCTGCTTTGACCAGATGGACAAGGAATGGAAYGCACTTGCTGTGTACCAGGAAGGAAGTGCTCAATTTTTAGMAGTCTATTTTACAGTCATGACCCTTCCTTTTCTTCTCTGGAGCAGCAGCAGGTCAGCAGCTCTCCTGCTTCAACAAGCCCTGAGGGATAGTCAGTGTTCACACTGCAGCTTCCTAAATACCACTGCTGTCTGCAGCCAGAACACCAATATTGCTGAAAACATTCCTCCTTCTGCATTCCTACACCTGTACTGAGCAGGAATATTTCCACATCTGTAACATCACCACAGCAKTCAGCACAATATCACTGCGGGATACAGATTTTATCAGTTTTTTAATTGTACACCTGTCCAGTACAGGCAGATAGGGATCTGAACAGTCCATCAGACAAAGAAGGAGCAGCTGAAGGAGGAGGATTACACATAATTGGCATAGATGGAACGGTGCACAACGACCTGTTAATAACACACAAATCTGGGAGAGGCACAGACCTCAGGCTCCCCATGGCTACAACACAGGCAGGATATTTACTGAATTTCAGCTTGGTGACAGATGGACTGTGATATCTGTACAGGCAGGGGGATGATGTATAGGCTAGTTCTTAGCTCTTTAAGAGCCAGAGACTTCTGCAAAGTTATTACACAAAAGCTACATATTACTTTTAGAAATAAACTGATGTTTCATTAAGTTATTCACTCAAGCTTGCTTTGCAACAGACAAAAAATTGCTCCTATGCTTAGTTGTTGTAGTGAAGAAGTGAGAGAAGTACTAAAATTTAAGTCGCAGCCATGACCCAATAGTTGGCCATCTTCACTGTGTTCAGTAGAGCTCTTCTTGTAAAAAGAAAAGAACGATTGTAAGTTAATTCCTATCTGCTACATCCAACCTACATGTAGATACTGAAACCTTTCTATAGCACAGGTGGAGTACAAAAAGAACCCACCTCCCCGAGCTGTCACAGGCAGTGCTCAACAACACAAAGGTASAAAACAATTTAGCAAAAGAGCTTTCATACTCAGGCACGGGCTGCAGGTGGAAGGGGCAGAGGATGGGGGTGTTCTCAATCTGCGCAGAGAAGGGTCCTGAGCTGCGGCCGGACTCCCCCGCGCCGCACGAGCCCCTGCAGCCGCTGTGCCCCCGGCACGGGGGCAGCTTCCGAGGCGGGGCCTTCAGCGGCGACAGCTTGGCCAGYGGCTTCTGGGCCTCGCCCCCACCGGGGTTGGGAGCGTTCTGTATTGCACTGCAACATCAAACACAACATTCATTGAGACATTGGCAATTTGGTTCTTCATGCACACACAACCCCCCACACCCTCCCTTGTTTTTTACAATCCATTCAACAGATTATAAAATAGTATCTGAAAAAATAAGAGTTATTTTATTACAACTCTGTTGCAAAATAAACTTCCACTGRATAAGCTTAGTTAAGTAATGTAGTGTGGTAAGAAGAACAGAACTGGATTGTCTGAAAGATTAACACCAAACAACTCCTTCCATTCGTTCACAAAAGACCAGAAATCTTTATAAACACCATTGCAAGGCTGAACTCGGAGTTATAAACTCGGAAGATGTGGGTAGAGTCTCATCCAAATGGTACACTGAACTTGTATCTTTTTTTAAGACAGCACTGTACATGTTCTGCTAAAACCACAGAGGAATTATTACAGGCAAAGCTTTCTCAAGGAAAGAAACATAACTTAATTATTTAATTAGGCTTTTTATACATATTCTCAAAGTCTCAGATAAATTTTATACACCATTCAAGTCAGTCAGAAGTAAGACAGAAATGCTGGGGTTGTTTTTAAAAATAAGTCCATAGAGCACATTAGCCTCTATTTGTTCAACATCCAGTCTGTGCAGAAGAGCAAAGCAAGCTTATTGTGAAAAACTGATGACTTTCACCTCTTTCAGTAATTATTAAATCACAAAATTGCAATTAAAGCCACTGCTTTCTTCTGCCTGAGTAAAACAAGCAGATACTTAGTTATCAAATTACAGGGTATAGCCTGGCCTCAGAGGATACCTTGTCTAAATCCCACCCCAGACAAACCAGGCTGTGACACAGATGGAAGCTCTCTATAAAGGCAGCACAAACCACCCTGCAGTGAAGTGTTTCTTATCACAGGCCAGCAGCTGCTGAGCCCCTAAAGCTTTCCAAAATGACGCTCCAGAGGCCGGATTTATCATTACAAAGCAGCATTTTGAGACCTCTTGCCAACACTTGGTCTGCCTGATAATTTTAGGCTGGCCTAATTGCAATGGAATCAGCTGTCCCTCCGGACACAGACATGGACAGTGCATAGCACTGACACAACACATATGCAGCATGACAGATCATCTGTAGCTTCTTCCTCTTCTAATGCTCAGCAAACTAAAATCCTATGATTATTTGGAAGGTCGACAGAAATGACTCACACATCCATGTCCTTTGACCACAAGCTTTTTTTCCCCATGAACTTTTAAAATTTCCAAAGAGGCTGACAAATTTCCGCAATTCTGCATGAGTTTGAAAGGCTCCACAGACCAGAGGCAGGGGAGAAGATGAAGGGAAGCTGCATCATTTAGTATTTACTTCAGCAAACACTAAATAAAAACTCCCAAGTTTTTCTTCTAGTGCAGTATTTATGTTYTTAGTAAAGGTAGCCCCAGGGTGTGTTCATCACATCACTGCCTGTCAGACAAGGAAAACTATGCTGGTAGCTTTCCAGTCCCCTTCCTTTTTCAGACTTCTCCAAAATATCTGCTGCCTCATYTATCTGATGTTAAATCAAGGCCCATGAAAAGCCCAAACCAGTCACAAGCCATGGGCTGCAATGACAGTTTTTCAATATCCACAGTAGAACTGCAGGCCCCTTCCCTGGAGCTGTGACAAGGCAATCCCGTCTGGAAAAAAAAGTTCTGTTTAACTTGAACAAYAGAATCAGAGTGAAGCAAAATTACAAACGCCCTCTGCCTCATTCTCTYGAGACATATTAATTTCTGGAAACCACGCCAGATCCCGTTATTTCAGCAAAATCTTGCCCAGAATTTGGGTTATCAGTCAGCTTTAACCATAAGGCCTCACAAACATTCCTTCTCTCCCTCAAGAGTGCTTATCCATTTTTATCCAGCCCTTTTTCAGATACCACCAGGTCTCATTTCAGGGCTCCACACACAGAAAATTATTTGATGGGATAGTAACAAGACCTCAATGAATCCACACTTAAGTGTCAAACAAAAGTATATGGCTTGTAAAAATAAAAAAAAATAGGTACATTACCATTTGCTGAAATCAATCTGCAGAGAATGGTCAACAGTGAGATCAGTWGGGCAGGCAGGATTGACTTTCACTGGATCTCCTCCAGCATTTCTCACAGCTTCTCTCATGGCAGCAAAATCCACCATTGCTGGAATTCCACTAACAGATGGAAAAACAAAATAGTAAAACAACATGAGACATGAACTCACTAAATGCACACACTTCTTTTTAATTTTACTGAAGTCTAGAATGAGCTAGAGACAGAAAATATATCTGTTATTCTCTAAATCTGAAGGGACTTGAACCTTTTTTAAAGTCACTGGAGTTGATACACTCTCCTAACGAGCAATAGCATGCTTGAAGACAATGTACCAAACAAGAACATGGGACCATCTCAAAGATAACCACAYTTCTCATGTCTTGCCTTGCTTCTCAAGTGCGATGGTACTTCAGTACAGTAGGAATCTTTAGATACTGCTTGCCTTTACAACAGAGCCTTGCTATGCAAGCAATGCATTTAACACCTTAGCATGTTTTATTTGTCTAATAGAGMCATTTCTGAAGCTCAGAGCATCTCACAGATAAATTAATGTGGCTATAACATGGATAAGCACACCTAAATACAAAATAGAGAGGGGCAATGTTTATATAACACAGTACTACATAAATCTAATTGACCTTGCCTGCAAAGCAGATGTCACTTCATTTTTATTATGATCATAATTCCTTTTTTTTTAATTATCTTGCTTCTTAATAAATAGACAGARTCAGCAAGACAGCTTAAATTGAATTCTTGCAAATTGCTGAAGGACTGCCCTTTTAGCAATGCCATAGTCAAATCACAAAGAAAGTTAATATCCTAAGAGGCTGCTTTTTCAATGTATGTATTATTCATGGCTTTGACAGGATTACTCATTGCGGAGTAAGCAATATTTAATCTTCAATTATCTCCAGGAAGAACTGTCAGTGACAGTGTGAACTGTTAACCATCTGGCTACAGCCAAAACATCACCACTTCCATTTGTGTTCTGGCTCTTATGCTGTAAAGTGGTCCTTGCAGGGCAGCAGTTTCAGCCTTGCCAACCTGCCCCAAAGCCAGAGTACCCTACAGAACAATTGCTACCCTTGYATTATATGGAAATATCACAAGGAATCTACTGCACAGCAGAAGCAGTGCACAGGTTTCCACCTGGGTATCAAGAGGGTAGGTGTGATTTCCTCTCAAGCCAAAGAATTGGACACAAACTGAGTTTGCACAGGTTCTTTAAGGGGGTTTGGTGCACCTACGTGAAGTCTTGAAGAACAACTCTGGCAGGACAGAAGGGCACTTCAACATGGTTCTGTTTTGTTTTCCAGTCCAAGATGTTCATAGCATCCGTTTCTTTCACTAAGAAGCCATCACAGTTCCGGACACTGGACTCAAACAACACTCGGATGGAGTAAGGCAGAGTATCTGGTATGAAGCAAGGAACAGATCCCATGAATGTAACACTTGCAGCTTATACAGAYTTTTAAATTACAATCTCACATTTCTAAGGAATTCCACTTTTCTAGGGCTTGGAAGGATGACAGCTTCAGGCACCTGCTTTGGGTTGGCTTTGGGTTTGATCTTCCTTACACAATATAGAACTGTGAGCTGCACATTGCAGGAGTTGAGTTATCCTATGGAACTTGAATGGGAGATACCAATGGCTTGACCATACTGTTCAGACAGTGACCTTCAGTAGGGCAAATTATGCTGGCAGGAAAGAGATGCAAGGAATATAGACCTGGGATTATGGATCAGAGCAGGTCAAAARCAACCACTAATGGAATACTCAAAAACATTGCACCTGTAAATTTTKCCATTTAATAACTCAAGATACCAAGCCAAAAGCAACCAAGGCCAGAATATTATTTTTGACAAACAATGAAACGAAGACTAGAACCTAATCTGCCATGTGCCCTTTCAAAATTAACACACTGCAAAAAATATAAAGAAGGACACTTCATTAAATATAACTAGTGTCAGTTTGCAACTGATCCAAAAATTAAGGTACTGGCAAGTAGCAGTTTTCTGCATGAAAATAAAAAGGGAAATKGAAATGAGAATGAATAAAGACGGAAGAGAAAAAATCCCCAATGTCACTATTCACTGCAAACAAATGAAACAGAACAATCACTAGAGAGAAAGAACCAAGATTAATTGACAGTTCTCCCCCAAATCCCACTACTTTCAGCACCATTCAAGCAGGCAAACAGCTTCATGAGAACAGTGAGAAACATAAAAATAGTCAGCTGGAAGAAGGTGAAACAAGTAAGCTCAGGCTTATAATTTAAAAAGAAGTTTGGTGGTCTCAGAGTAATACAGTGGTTTGTTCACAAACTATTAATATAGAATTTTCTGACTCCATTCTTGTGTCTTTCTCAGATMTTATCCACTGTTGTCTAGTTACACTAGACAAGTCACTATTTTGAGTTTAAGATCYGAGTAAACTTGAATATAGATGTCATCAAAAAGGTCTAACGAACCATGCCTTCACTCAATTTAAAAGCCAGGTTTCCAGAAGAGAACTAGTTTGCTCTCTCATGATTTACAAATCTCACTGCCCCAGGGGCTGCTGAGCACCAGCCCTGAAGCACTAACTCCTTCTCTCCATGAGGTACCTCAAGCTCCTATCTGCAACACTGTGTGCAGTTTGGGGCTTCCCAGAATACAGGACAGCTCTAGAAATGAGATCAAATCCAACAGCAGGCCTGACTTAGCAGAAGTGCCCAGTGAAAGCACAGAAAAAGTCCCAGGGTGCAGGAAGGGACAAGTAGGACTGGGTACAAGGGAAAGGCAGCTCACAGGGAGTGTGATCAAGTACAGGATCATGGGAGGCAGTGGAATCTCTGTCCTCCCAGACTTGCACAGCTTAATCAAGAAAGGTTTCCCACATCAGTGCTGTCCCACACTGTGTCTAGATGTTATTTAGTATTTTGCCATCTTGAAGTTAACATAAGGCTTCTAGCTTCTGCACAGAAACTTTCACTGGAAGACAAAAACCCTCTTAATCYAGACTCCTGAGAATATCTTCAGGAATACCCATTGCTGCTCCAAGCTTCATGGCACATTTTAACAGAAAGCTGTATATTGTTATTTCCACCCCWGTCATGAGGTTTTTAAAAAAGCTGCCATGGAACTGCCTGGTTTTGTTACTATCACTGCACTGCTTCTCCCTGAACAAAGCCATCAACAGAAGCACTGTTTCCTCCATAGGTGCTTATCTGAAAGATTGACTGTTACTATAAGCAGGGGAAATTGGCAAGAGCACGCAGCTGTTGCACAAAGTTTCAGCAGACACTGTGCACTGTGTTCCCCTGTCTCTTCTCTTCAAACAACACAGAGTTCATTACTGTGGTCAAATATGGGTTTAAAGTGAAATATCCACCAGTATTTTTTTTATTCAAGAAGCACATCACAAATTCTGTGAATACAGATGAATTCAGACTTTGCAAAACTGAAAGATATCCCAAAAGACTTTCCTAAGCATCCCATGTAAGCATTTCAGTCTAACATGAAAACAAAAGGAGAGAGTAACGTCMGTATGCTTTGATTAGCTGCAAGACTAAGGCCTGTTCCAACTGGCAGTGAGCAAAGCTCCCTTCCCTGCATGGACTGCCCTCCTACCACATGTGCAACATTGTGAGTTTTTAAAAGGCACTTGGACACAGAGACCCAATGAAGGTCTTTTTGGCACAGACTGCTGCTGCATACTAATAACAAGCTGAGATTAAGCAACAGCAGGAGCACCATAAAACCTCACCCTGCAGCAGGAGCCAACAACAGTCACCCACTATCTGAGGCTGCTGGGGAGGTGATACTTGAATACCATGAAGCTGTATAGAACTATAGTAAAACCTATATTTATTTCTGAAGTGTTAAACAGGAGTTCTTTGTCACTTTATTTTTTTTCAAAAGCATAATTCTTCTGATTTGGAATATTGTTGAAAACTAGAGAAACACCTGTACTTTCTCCCTTACTGAAAAAACAGCTACAGGTATGCCATGCCAACTTCATAAATCAGTAAAAAACTGGGAAATGATCAGCCTCCTAACACACCCACTAGGAATTCTCGACTGCATCCCCTGCCACCTCAGGGCAACCAGAGGGACAGTCTGCTGCTGGCACCACCCCAATTCGACCCGAGAGCATCGTACCATACTTGGCGCCTCCGAGCTTCGACACATTATAAAACTTCTTCTCTGGGTGGTCTTCCAAAGCTTCAATGGCGGGCTGRTAAGGGCTTCCTTGGGGACAAAACAAACAAAGTTAAAGCCAGGAACCGGTCGCTTCAGGACAGAGGACTCACAGAAAGAGATTTGATTTCTGATTGTACCAAAAATAACGTTCCTCTACAMAGTAAGTAAGTGCAATATGGAAAGGTTTCTAAATGGATCGAGACATCTCGTGATGCAGATGTGTGACTAAGGTTAATTTTAAAAGCGTCAGTAATAGTAGATATATACAGGTCATGCAGGTSACCAGCACAGCCTGAACACACCTGACCTTTGTTGTCTCAGTTTGCCATCTACACACAGGATAAGACATCTCACCAGCGCAGATAAGAGACACGGGTTTTAATACGGCAGGAAACATAAAGCATTGACTGCCAACCCAACGTCAAGAGAACAAGAGACAAAAAATAAACCTCGTAGCAGCCATTAGGTACCCGGAATAAATAACCCCCGGGAGGGAGCARATAGCGGGGCGGGGACGGGGCCGCTACCCCGCCGGCGGGACCCCCGCGGCCTGGGACACCGCCGTTSGGCGGCGCAGAGGGCGAGGCGATGTCCCGGGCCGGGTGTCCCGCCCGGTGAGGCGGCCCCGTCCCCGCAATGACCGACCTGTCCTGGGAGGGTCCATCGCCGGCGACCATGTCAGCGTGAGGGAGMGGGCCGGGGGCGCCAGCGGGCCGCCAGATCTCGCGAGACTGCGCCCCACGCCCCGCCCCGCCAGCGCGGACAGCGCCGCTCTCGCGAGACCGCGCACCCTGCCGGGGCGGAAGGGCACGAGATCGCGCGGAGCCTCGCGGAGACAGCGGAAATGGCCGGGAGAGGGCAGCGCCTGCTCTCGCGAGA